CCAATATAGTAAATTAAATTTAGTTCCTTAACAGCAACCCAGTAAACCCCTAAATCCTCAACTTGCTACCCACCCCCTAAACCTTAAACCCTTCCAAGGATTGGGTGGACTTGAAGAGCATCAAGGTGCCCACTGGGATGCCGAATTTCTTGGCATTACTGGGTTGCTGTTAAGGAACTTAATTTCAGCAACTATATTAGGGAAACCCTATTACTTACATATACCCATTATGCTAGCCTGATTTAAGTTCCTTAGCAGCAACCCAGATTATGGGCTTACGGTTGAGCTATAGTCTAAACTCCTTAAAGGGGGGTTATATAGGGGATTATATGGGGGACTACTATAGGGCTTATTAAGGGGGATACTAGGAGTTTAGACTATAGCTCGGTTAGACGTTGAGGTTCTGGGGCAGGGGCACTCGACTCCATGGGAGGGCCAGGGCTGTGCGCGGGATATGTTTCTACATAGATGTGTATATGCGTGTGTAGATGTGTGTGTATGTATGTATGTATGTATGTATGTATGTATGTATGTATGTATGTATGTATGTGTGTGCGTACACGTATGTCAGGTGTATGTATACCTAGACCTTTCGCAAATACTCAGAACAATGGCCCTACACACATCAATTTGGAGTTAACGTCCATAATTTAGGGGATTAGTGAGATCCAGGTGTGTGCGTGCACCCTAAATCCTCCAGCCCAGGCGCATGCAAAAGGTAAAGCAAAAAAACAAGAGCAAAAACTCAATCAGCTTCGCTCAACGACTCCTGACCTGAGGTCAAAATTCGCTCGCAACTCCCGATCTCAACCCTGTACAACTTGGTATGAACCATTTTGCTTATACACATATGAAAACGTGTTTGTATGGAAATTGTAGAACATCAAATGGACACATGAGGCTTACAGGGACACTTACCCCATCATCTTGTCATGATTATTTTCCTCGGGGTTCAGTATACAACAACCATATCCTTGGTGACTATTCTACTAGATTTCGTTACTGGGGTTTTGAGGGGTAGATGATGGTTCTTACTTTGGACCATTAGGTTTGTCTTTTGATGTGACCCAAACAGCTGGGTAGTATGCTTGCTTTGAACCTACAGCACGTTTCATCAGAAAACAGGGGTCCACGTCTGTCAGATGTAGGGGCTAAAGGGAATTGTGTTCCAGGGGCTAGAGTTTGATGCGCTGCTCATTCTCCGTACATTGAGAGCCCTGAACCCTAAGCCCCAAATTCACAAATCAAGACATGTGTCAACGCGCGAACTACGAAGCCCTCAGCCCCAAGCCCCTGCCTAGGTTTTAGGGCAGAAGGTCCTATAGCACCTTAACATGACAAGTATGCAGCAAAGTGGTGGGCCGTCTGCAATGACAGCTTTTTGAAAAATGTTTGTATTCTATAGATCATGGCTCGAGAACGGAGAGACCCTATCCTGTGAAATAGTAAAGGCGAATTGGTCTAAGACAATGTCCAAACCCTCAGCAAATCACTCCTGCAGAGACAGCACATATGGTTTACGGTACCACTTCTCATAGGCTCTGCCATGCTATTAAGGATGCTAGTAGCTGCTCAGTTTAGTGGGTTTAGGGCTTAGGGTTTAGGGTTAGTGAGGCTGGCCGGAGGTGATACTGGGCGGGGGTTGCTCCTCGAGGCCCTGGAGTACCGTACACTCCCCCTAACCCTGACTCCCCTTGGGTAGTTCCTTCGTCCTTTGGTTTTGTTGGTTTTGGTCAGTCTTACAGGAACCCCGACAGACTGAGTCTTTTGCTACATTCTGAGAGGGGGATAGTAACAAGTCTGGATCTTGAACACAGGTCCCTCATAGACCACCTTCCGCCGACCACAGGCTAATTCGCGGGCCGTGTTCGCCTGGGGAGGTTCAACAATCAACGACAACACCCACAATAAGTACATGAGCCTTAAAGGGTTATACAGGGGCTTCTACAGGGGAGTATTATAAGGCTCATTAAGGGGATACTAGGAGTTAAGACTATAGCTCACATGATTGTTTTTTTATAGAGATCCCCCCCCCCCACGTAAGGACCACTAAGATGCCAGGTGATCCGTGTCCTCCGATTGCTGAAGCTTATGCGGCTCCTGAAAACCTCCAAGAGCCTCGGCCGGAAATTTCAGATGGTAGGTTGTCAGAATTACCCCCATTTCTTTGCGACCTACATTATTAAAGGGCACCCAACCCAGACCATATCTTTGACAATCTGCCACTGCATGTGGGGCCTCTGAAGGATTCTGGGGTTTTGCATGCAAGGGTTCTGTATCCTTTTTTCGGGGAATCTACAGGAGCTCATAGTGCCCCCAGCTGGTGCCAGGTTCCGTGGTTTAATGTGCGGGCTTTCCAGTTTATTTAGAGTCTTGGACCGAGGGGTTTAGGGTTTAGGGAGGGTTTGGGGTCTCACCTCGCTTGTGATTTCAAAGGCAAGCGCCTCATGCATGCACTTCGAGGGACACGGGGCATTGCTATGGTGTGGGGACACGGGATACATGGGGATGTTATGGTGTGGTTCCGCATGGAGATGCAATACATCCGCGAAAGAACATGAATCTTCGCAGCAGAATTGTATTTCCATGGCCCTCCAACTACGAAGTGTGCTGACCGGAGGCGCGCGACGTTCGTTGTTTTAGGAGTGTTCCCTCCCACGACTACAGAGCCACGCCTTCATCTCGAAACCCAAAGCTGCACCCGAAACCAAAGGCTGAAAGCTCAAAACGCCCTGGAAACCAACCTGGAAACCAACGAGCAGAAGCTTCAGTCTTCGGGGTTCCTCACATTAAAAGTGGGTAAACTACCAGCCTGTAGGTGAATGAAGCCACATGTGTGACTTCGCCGCTCAGGACCATCAACTGGAAATCCCAGTTGCCTCTAAGCCCTAAAGCATAAACCCTGAACCATTCAGGATCATCCATCGACTGGAAATCCCAGTGGCCATCCCCTACCAGCATCTGGCCCTCATCCGTTTTCTGCTGGTTCTTGTGATTGCTTGCCACTGGCTGGCCTGTGCTTAGGCTGCAAGGGTGGGGGGTTTAGGGTTTAGGGCCTACGCAAAAGCCCAAGCTGCTGCACCCCTGAAAAGTGGCAGAGAAGGCTCTACTGAGATTATTGTCCTCCCGGAAGGGCTTGCCTCTGTGGGTTTCCAAATAAGCTTCGGGGAGGTAAGAACCTACCCAGAGAGCACGGAGGATTGAGGATAGGTTCCAAATTCAGGGGTTTAGGGTGTAGGGTTTAGGGCACTGAAGTTCAACAAGTACACTTACTCCACCATTCCCTTGTTGCCTGAGCATCTTCCGGGAGGCATTCTACACCACCTGTGCCCTTCGGTAAAAAATCCAGTGTCCAGTCTGCTCTGCAGCTGTGGCAAGTGCCAAAAAAAGAATTCTAAATCAAGCAACTAGCAATAGAAAGCACACATATGGTTACAGTCCCCCTTAAGTAGATAGAATATGGCTTTGGGAATATTATACTAAGATCCCCATATAACCCTTATTCTATCTACTTAAAAGGGGAACTGTACATGTGAAAGGGCTCCTCTTCCCAAAGCCACCTCATGTAGGCGTGCCCTCAGTACCGGGTAGTCCGCCTTAAAGTACTGCTGCCCCATAGATCTTCACCCTAAACACTAAACCCTAGGAGTACTCCACATGTAGTACCCAGACCCCCAAAGAGATCTGAAAATTAGATCTTCTAGAACCATATGGGAAATTATAGAAGGGTTATATAGGGATAATAATGGGTTTATACAGGGGATCTAATTTTTAGATCCTCCCTCCCAGGGGTCTGGGTACTCACTCACTCTCATTGACGAGGCTTAGGGCAGAAGGCATGAGAGTGCCCCTTGATCAGGGTTAACCCGCGAGGGGATTTGGGCAGCCCAACTTCCAATTTAGCACCCTAGGACTATCATCATGTGAGCTATGGTCTAAACTCCTAGTATCCCCCTTCATAATACCCTTATATATACCCCTGTAAGGAGTTCAGATTGTAGCTCATGTGGCCCTTAAGGGTCTTTAGCTTAGGGGTTGGGGTTGCTAAAGCCGTTTCACCTTCAAGTTTGAGGATTGAAGCGCGGTCGTTTGGATGTGCCGGGATTTCAGGTACAGCCGAGAAGCACCCAAAAACAAGATGCAGCCCCATAATCTGCAGACCCCACGCCACATAACAAAGAAGCCCTAAGGCCTTGCTAGGGAGAGACATTTTGTGAAGCACCTAGTGCTGGGGGTAGCCAAGGAATATGTAGAGGTTTTACGGGGAAGTGTGGCTCAAACGCCTTTTTCCAAGAGCACGCCTCGTCAGGACCACCTTGGATTGAGCACGTTTATTCCAGTTAAGGTTTGGGGTTTAGGGTCTTGGGCAAGTTAGGGCCACTTCGTTTAAGGAATCTTGAGCAAGCTACGGCGAAATTTGGGGATAACTGCGGCGGAAGCCGAGGGTCCGGAACCCTACACCCTGACATTAGCTCAGAATGGAATAGAATGGAAGGTTTAGGGAAGTGTAGGGTTGCCGGAGCTTTAGAGTTTAGGGTTTAGGGTTTCGGAACGGACGCTCTAAAGCGCCCCAGCACCCAGTAGTATTACACTTCCCCAGAACCTATACTACAAGCTCAATTCCCCAAATCCCTAGGCCCTGGACCACTTGACCCCAAGTACCCCAAGTACCCCTAAACCCCAAGTACCTCCAACTATTTGATACTTGGGCGCTTAGAGTAAAACCAAACTAGGCTCCGCAATGTAGCAATAGTAACAGTAAGAGTGACTACAAGGTTCCTGAAAATATATTTCTGTTACCTAGAATCCTAATATTTAGCTGAAATTATAATTTCTACTGGGGTTCCAAATCCCTTAGAGGTGATAGTTTCAGTAATAGTCATGATAGTAATAGTTTAGAGTTCAGGGATTAGGGGCCATAATAGTAATGATAGTAACCATTTTACTAGTGCCAGTCGTGATATAACAGCAGAAGAAATCTAAAACAGCAGAAACACCAGGCTTGTGGGCAATGACGCTGCAACTTGTGGAGCCGCAGCTTCTTAGATACACCTACGAGAATTAGGATTTAGGTTTTAGGGTTTAGGGTGTACTCACCTCTGGTTAGCGGGGAATGAGGGAATGGAAAAGAAGACACGAAGCCCTAAACCACATCCTCGGGGATTCTAATAGGGACTAAACTCTAGATCCTAAACCCCAAACACTAAACATCACTACAAGGCTCCATTCTTTCATTCTTTGCCAAGCAGAAGTAAGTTCAGGGCGTCCCAGAGTATGGAATCCTGTGTTTTGGTGGTTTAGTGGCAGTTTCGGATGGTGATATCCTGCCAGGTCTCAGGAGTTTCCAAGAAGGAGGGAAGGCATTACTACAGTGGAGGATGGGACTAAGTACAGAGAATTCCTTTGCTACTGCTGTCGAGAGGCCCTAAATCGCCAAACCCTGAACCCTAGACTCCAAAACCCTGGAGTCCTGGAGCGATGTTTTTGGGGGAGCTAGTGATGGGATGAGTTCAAGCTGTGGAGACCTCTGAAGCTCAAAGCACCCGCCCATGCACAGAATAGATCCCAATTGTCGGCCGTTGCATGAGGCTAGGGCGGAAGGGCAAAAGTATCCTCTTAGATGGCTTCGCCAGAATAGTGCTGCAAGTAGACTTCTATACTGAGTCTGCTGGCGGATGAGCCGCTCCCGAGTTTGATGCCCTCCGTGCTCTGCTGATGCCGTAGGTTTCCACGCTGGATCAACGACATCGAGGCAGCCGATCTGGAGTTTGGCATCGAATCCTCGCAAGATCCGATGCGAATCTATGTTGCCGCCTTTTACTTCTGCTCCTACACTATGACCTCTGTGGGCTATGGAGAGACTTGCCTGAAGATGAACCGGGATCAGCGATGCATCTAGGCAAAAGGTCTGCGTCAACAAAGGGCGCATGTTTAATAACCAGATACTTTAGGCAGCGGACAGTCATTGACTGGCGTCTTAGTCAGCATCATGTTTGGGCATGTTCGGGCAAGATCCTTGCATTAAAGCCAGCAAGTCCCTTCAACCTGCTGACCTGAAAGGCCAGGCGCCTGCCCCCTTACGTGCTACCGAAACCCTAAACCCTAAACCCCATTGTCTCAGGACATTGGCCCGAAGAATGTCCTGGAGCGCTTAGTCTCAATCGGTATCATCCTAAGCGCCGGCCTATGCTGGGCCTACATTCTCGGTGAGGCGCCATGCTGCGTGCTGTGTTTCTTCATTTGCTTGAGGTTACCTGTTTAGTTAAATGACCGCGGTGGTTTCGAATCGTTGTTGCGAGAGAGTTCCACAAGACTAGATGAGTGACCAGATCCCAAATAATTGCGTGGGTGCCGCGTGCGACAAGCGTTCGGGATCGGGATCTCTAAATCCGGAATCCGTATAGTCCTTGCACTAGCTCTTCCTGCATGCGGCAAGTGGAAGTGACATATGAGCCATAGTCCCAACTCTTTCAAGGGGTGTTATATAGGGGACTAATTATTACAGGGATTCTTAAGGGGGCATACTATCAGTGTAGACTACAATTCCTATCACCCCCCTATACACTCACAGTTTCCATTTCATTTTCCATGTTCTTTTGCATTTGATTCTCCATTATTAAGGGGGTACTTGGAGTTTGGACTATGGCCCAAACATCCTTCCCTAAACCCTAAACCCAGGAGTTTAGACTATAACCCATGTGGTCTTTAAACCAGGCATGCCTGTAACTAGGTCAGGTAATAATCTGCAGCCGAGGTCCGGCTACCTCTAAACCCTTGTAATAGTAGTCATAATAGGGACAATAGCAATATAATAGTCAAATTAGTCAAATAGTAATAATAGTAGTAGTAATAATGGTTCTCATAATAGTCACTGAGCCCAAGCCCTGCACCTTGGCTTATGTTGTTATCGCTGTTTGAGTCTAGGCATCTCTCGATTCTGGCCATTGTTAGCCTGGGCAGGTGTGTGGCATTGTCGCCGACATGGCGAGCGAGAGTCAAGAGTTCAGAAAGAGGATGCACCACCTCAACCGCATGATGAAGAATCAGGATTCCGTTCGGATGGGCTGTTGTTGAGAGTGGGGCCCTTGCATTACGTTATGCAGCATCAGCTTGGTCCACTTCGTCCAAAACCCCCCTCCTGCTACTCCTATTCCTGCGCGAGCCTTTTCCATTTCATTGGCTATTGTGTTGCATGGGCGGTATGGAAAAGTGTTTGTGCATACTTCATTACGCGTCCGTCCAATTCCTCAATGTTGGGGCCTTTGTACACCCGTGAAACTCCAAGCAAGTGCGAGGCAAAATGAGTTTCATACTACGTCCAGAGCTAAAGAATCATGCGTTTGGACGACATGCGGAGGCGTCTGCGTGTCACGGATTCTAAGCCCTAAACCCTAAGTGCAGCAGCAAGTGCAGTGGTACTGGCAGGGCCACTACTTAGGAATTGTTGGAGCTCTTCTTAATGCCTGCTGCGCGGGCAAACCTCGTCTGATCATTTACTATTATCCTTAGTATTATGAGGCTTTCCCAAAATTAGGGGTACCTTTTTTGGGGGTCCCTATAATAAGGACCAGAATATTTTGGGGTCTATATTGGGGTCCCCTTATTTGGGAAACTACCTTATTGGCATTATCATCAGTATGAGTATTATTAGTGACTCGTCTTTATTACTACTATTATTATTACCGCTACTACCACCTCCACCTAAGACAGCTACTCCATCTACCATGCTCAGTTTGTACAGGCTGTTTTTTTTTCATTTCTTGTACAGCATGCTTGTATGCTTTGGGTGGTGTTACTATGTTCGAAGGAGCATGGACCCCCCCCTAGCGGCGCAAGCTGCTTTTGACTTGGGTGTTTTTCTAGAAACTTACCTTTCATATTGCGGGCCAGTATATCCCGTTGGCACGACGAATGATGCAACACTGCATAATTTTGAGAGCCATGCTACACCGTCTCATGCGAGCCTGCAATGACTTCATCGAAGCTTCCTTACACCATTCTAATTAGCGCTCACGTTGCGTCGGGGTCATCTTCCATGCTCTTAGCGACATGAAGGTGCAAACCTTAAAAACTAAACCCTCATCTCGATTGCACTTGGGGCCTGCGGCGCAGTCCACAGAATGAGGCCCTGGCTTGACTTACGCCCCAGAAGGCTTCGGGTTTAGGGTTTAGAATCCTTTGAATTTTGTTGCAGGCCCACAACCTTGCCAAATCCTCATTTGTACTATAGTCTGAACTCATTAAAGGGGTGTAATCGGGGATTATGTAGGGGATTTTTTTTCCAAGGGTTACCAGAGGGGATACTAGCAGTCTAGACAGCTTATCTGAAGCTGCAGGAGCTCCCCAGGGATCTGAAGGCAAGGTTGCGCAGCTACTTCCTGCAGAACCGGCACCAATCTCAATTCCTGACGCAACAGAAGCTAGTCAATGATCTAGGCTTGGTGAGGACTTACAAAGCGTACCCAACACGGGTTGTTGTTTGAACCCTAAATCCCTCAGTTGGGACCAATCTTTAGTCAGATGATAGCTTTTTGGTTCTCATTTGGGGGGTGCACAAAATCCTTTGACGAAGCAAGGGCGAAATCGTGCTTTATGCAGCTGAACCAACGGGCACAGTTCCCGATTAGGTTGCGTACCTCTCATCAGCAAATGTGGAATTTGGGTAAGGAAGTACTGGCAAGACTTCTGCAATCAGAAGCCCTAGACCCTAAACCCCAAATCCTAAACCGTTGTTGGGTTTTCTGACAGCTCCTTCAGTCGACATCCATGTTGGATACTGCACCCACCCCATAATAGTTCCCGAATATCACCTTCTACACATGACTCTGATAAGTCATAGGCTGGTGGCATCGAACAACTCGGAATTTTTCAGTTGGGCTCTAGGCTGGGTGGGCCGAGGGATATTGAGTATTTTCCCTAATGGGAGACCCGGAACAGGGGTAGGCTTGTTGTTCTCACTTCCCCTAAATCCCCGTATACTCTGTATAAAGCCATAAACATTTTTATTTTTTAGGGCCCGCAAGTCTACCCTATCATATACGAACACTTGTTCCAAAGCGTTTTAGGGGCCAACCCAGTAGGCAGCTACTGAAACCCCTCATCTCTGTCACCAGATCATGGATTCTTGGTTTGCTTTTTCACACTTCCTTATGGTTTATAGGGTTTGGGGTTTAGGGTTTCGGGTTCAGGGTCTAAGGTTTAAGGTTTTAAGGTTTACGTTTTATAGGGCTTAGGGTTTCCGGTTTTCGTCTCGAAAGATCACCCCGCTTTCAGGCATTGGATCGAGGCTTGTCTTTCAACAGTTTGGGAATGGGAAAGGAAGGCCAACACATCAGATCATGGATTCCTGACTTTCTCTTTGGTTGACTCTTATTCATTCAGCAACAGAAGCAAGGAAGACAAAGCTGGTAAATCCTGGAAAAAACAGAACGAAATCACCAGAGCTTGGAATTTTGGTTCATGGGAGCGACTGAAACCGATTGAATCTCAATTGGTCCCCCGATTGTAGGTTCTAAATTCAAGATGACTGGTAAAAGTTTTCTTGGAATCTTGAATCTGAAGTCCTTGGCCGGATTGAAACTCAACAAGCTTCAATCGGGAGATGGTGGCTGAGCAAAACCACGGATCCTACAATATTAGGGTCATATTAGGGTTATATTGGGATAATGGAAAATAAGATGGAAACTGCCATAATAGGTTATATAGGGGTTATATTTGGGTTAGGCCTTGGGTGCCTTGACAACCTAAGGGTGATTGAAACCCGATTGAACTGTAATTGGACCCCAGATTCAAGTTTCAACCCTAAACCCTAAACCTCAAGGTTCAAGATGCCGGGAAGAGTTTCCTAGAATCAATCTTGAATCCAGGCCCCGATTGAAACTCAATCGGTTTCAACCTGGGGCCACAGTTCAAACCCTAAAAAGGCCCTAAACCCTGGACCGCCCTTAGCAAAGCTTCTGGCCACAACTCCAGACATGAATCTAGACAGAGGTGCACTTTATTCTAGGCTCAAGCCCCCCCCCAAAAGGGTAGATACCTGGGGGGGTGGGAGGGGGGCATACACATTTTTGTTAGGTTCAGGGCTGCGGGTTTAGAGTAGGGACCTCAAGAATTTCAAAGGTTAGAACTATAGGGGTGATACTAGGGACATTACCCCAGTCATGGAGAATCGAATGGCAAAGAACATGGAAAATTAAAGCTCTACTTTATCTGAAGGTCCTAGCTTTTAATCGTGGATTTCCAGGTGTGCCCTCCATACCCTCCTTCCTACTGGGGGTTAGTAGGGAATAAGGGAATACATTACATAGGGGCTCTTCGGGAAGTCTTGCCCCATACAAACCACCAGTAATTTGCTTCAGTATTTCGCACGTTGTGGTGTAGTACGTGAGTAATTCTACCAAAGAGGCCAGGCACAGCGCAGTTCCCAAAGTACCCTCAACCCCCAAACCCCAAAGTCGGCCCCAAATTGTTTATTTCAATTTGTGGCCTGTAAGTTTCTTTGCAATCTGCAGCTTGCTCTGTGGCAGTTGGCCAATTGTGGCCCCGATCCTCACTTAGACGAAGTCCCACGGAAAGATTGTGAACACTTTGTCTAGATAAGGATACACTTAGGGGCCCTAGGATACTAGGATAGTGGGCATTATAGGGTTTAGGCTTATAGCGTCCAAGGAGATTATTAGAGGGGAGCCCTAAGTTTAAATCCTTAACCGCCCGCTGAGGAGCATGCTAAAAGCTATGAGCCCTCAACTGCAATCGGAGGCGGGCAAATGGGTTCTATTAAGGTTGTAGGGTGTACACTTCCTCGTTGACAAAGGGTTGAGGGTTTATGACAAAGGGCTTATACAAGAGGTTCTCTGCTAAGCAATCTGCAGGCGCAATTGTTGAGAAGTTTGCAGGCTGTCAAATCGAAGATCCAATTCAGGAGCCCCAACACCTTAGTTAGGAAGGAAGAGCACCCCAAAGTAATGTGAGCTATGGTCTGAACTCCCAATATTTCCTTGAATACCCCCACATACCCCCCATTAAGGAGTTAAACGACTTAGAACCTTAAATCCTAACCCGTTTTAGACTACGGCTCATTTTTGTCAATTTACTTGGAGGGTCATGGGGGCTTAGTAAGTAGGTTAATAATGGGGATCATTGGGGTTATTGTATGGCTTATAGGGGTTAGTAACCTACTTACTAAGTCCCCATGAACCTCCAACTAGAGGG